GTCCACGTTTCCCAAATATTCGCGGTCAATTTACTATTTATTCTCTCATTTGTACTTTCTGTGCTGCTGTTGTGTGTCGTCATTTTTAGTTTTGCGTCGTACGATCGCTTCTAGATATTGTTATCATTTTTTTATACAAAAAAAATCATCATAAAATTCATCATATATTATATATAAATGATGTAATGTATGAACTGTAATATATGAAATTTTATATTCGTAATGAAACAATTCATCCTAATATAACAATTTACACCATTAGCGTAACAATTCATGAAGAAATATAAATGCAACGGCCGCGTTGTTCCGTGCATAAAGGTGCATATTATAACTCTCAGTTTGCCGTGACGTTACATCAATTATTACAATCCGCGCGGTGAATATTCAACGTTACACACGAAACAGCATAATGAGGAGGAGGAAAAGAATCGCGGTCGAAACGAAATTATTTTCGTTACAAATTCATAATCATTCGGACAGAATATTTTTGGAACTTTATACTTGGTAAAAATTAAGGTAAACCCTAAAATGGTAATAATTTCAACTGTTGTTATACCATGATATTCAGGGTTAAGAATGATGGGTTTATATATACGAAACCTATTAGTTATTGGTTCATTTATGCTCTTAACTGTGAATTCTCACTCTGTGAGAAAGAGAGAGAGAGAGAGAGAGAGAGAGCTAGAGAGAACAAAGCTACGCTCGGATATCATCATCAGACACGAATAGAGAGTGAATACTCGGTTGATTGGAGCGGCGTTCAAGCAATTTCCTATAATTACCGGCAAAGGTGGACAGGTATCGTCCCACGACGCACTGTCAACCGTACAATGGGCCAGCTACGCCACGATGTATCGACGATAATATTCCAAAGCTAGAACAATGCTTTACCTATCGGTGTCGTTTTAATCGCGGGTCCCGTGTCACAATCGCTACGCAATCGCTTTGTCTTCGCTTTGACCATTCGACTGTGAAATTGTTAGGAGACAAGATCATAAAGGTATTGGACGGAGATTTCGATGAAATTTCAGACGCGGAAGATTCGTCGAAAGCTTCTGATATAGTATATTCCTTTAGTTGATTACGGAGCGTCAATCGCGAATTGACAATTGATACTCTTTCATTCATTGAAATATAGAAAAAGAACAATACTGAGATGTAAGAAATAGAATCACGTTGGAATAAGATGTTGTTAAAAGTTACATACAAATTCGAGCATTCACTTGATGTGAATTTTTTAAGTATCACGTGTTTTACGAAAAAGACACCGACGTCTTCTGAAAAATTACGAAACTTTCGCTGTCATTTCGACCATTTTGAGAAAATCATTCCTCCTTTTGAACTTATTTTTTTTAAGGTTCACCCTTTGGCCACGATCACAGGAAAATCTACGAATCGTAAAATATCTATTTTCGTTTGTCAAGATCGTTGAAATAAATTATTAAAGCAGAATCTCTTCGCAATATGAAATTTAGTACATGAAAAGGTATTGTTCCACATTATTCGAGCTTGTCTCCTCATTAGTTTCGATAATCAAGATTTTATTATATTTTATTTTCATACAGCGTTACAATGTCAATCGAAGTCCGACGAGAATGGTCACATGGTCAAAAATAATCATTCAGCTGGTCGAATTTTGGAAAGAAAATGCAGAGTATTCGAAGAGTCGGTGGTTTGAACAAGCAAGCATTGTTTCGCAAATTTCAATTGACCCAGGTAAATAAGTTCGTTTAACGTGTTCGCCGAGTTCGACCGAAACAAAAGACTAAATGTTGTAATGAGGACAATGGCGTTCCTCAAAGTTTCAAGCACGGAAATGTTCTGACGATGTAATTGCGACTGGTGCGCAAAACCGACACGAAACTTTCGGTATTGTCTTTCTACGCCAAACAATTAACGAGCCTAAATGTATCAGGTGTGACAGAGCGAAGAAAAATATTTGGCGAAACAATTTTGCAAATCGTGAGAGCCGATTAAAGTTATAGTTATGGATGTATTTTCTGATACGTCGAAATAATTAAATAATTAAATACAAGTGATACAATTAAAAAGGAGATTAATACATATTAACACGTAAAAATTAAGGATAAGATTTTTTTTATTTATGAGGTTTTTTTTACGAAGAAATTTGTCAATTACAAACGTGTACAAAATCAAGACAGAATTAAAATTTAAAATTTACTTGTTTTGAAAACGAAGTGTTAAACAGGAAACATTTATTCTTTTTCAGTAATTTACGTGGAAAGCGTACTTCTGTCGATCATTCATTCTCATTCAGTCTGAAATCCAAAATCGAGTGTACTTTATTAATTTCTTAATCTGGCTGTTTGTATCGCCAGTTACAGAAGACACTGTATAATACGTATAATATATTCATTAAGATCCGAATTATCATGACTGTAAATTTCCACGCAATTTCATATTCCTAAGGATCGTTAAAAATTGAAACTGGCATAAAGAAATCGCATCATAGAAAACACTTTATACTTTCGTCATTCGATATATCTTTTATACGAGCATAATAATTCCTATGCGAAATTTCTTATAAACACAGAGAAATTGCCAGTCTATTTAGCAAACATGCTGTTCGAATATAATAAAAAAGGGAGAAAGAGAAAAAAGAATTGAAGAATAATCTACCTTATAACAGAAAAGGATAATTGTCTGAACGGAGTAGTAGAAGAAGAATTCCTCTCCAAAGTGGCATGCGTTTATTATTACACAAAATAAACATATAAACGATACATTGTTATGTACACGGAATACATATAAAAGATAAAATGACGGAGGTACTAGCGGTAAATGACGGAGATCGTGGCGCGGTCGATTTCAAAATGGCAGGCATCGGAGGAGATCAGTCGAAGATGTCATTGTGTTGTACGGGTATCCAGCGTAAACCATAGATTACCAGTGTCCATCGGCACGAAGGATGCTTCCAACACCGGCTGGTCCAGCAGCTATGCTACCGGATGGTCCTGCGATCAGTGCCGGAGCTGTGATGGGGCCAGCGAGAGCAGCTGGAGCAGCTGCAGGTCCAGCCAACACCGCTCCTGCGAACAGACAATGCGAAATTAATATGAAACTACTGTACAGCAAGGATTACATTCGTCCTAGGCAACGTTGTCGTTAATAGTGCCCAACTGAATTCGTTCGCTGAACTCCTATTATGCGAATTAATCGACCGTGGTTTATACAAGTGAGTATAAATCTAATTCACACGAACATCAGCTCTTATTATATTCGACGAGGAAATGATAATGGAAGAAAGATTTGATTTCTACTGGAGTTCTATTGGATTTCATATTGCTTATATTTCGAAATTTCTAGTTTGGAATTATTGATATCATTTTAAAATACAAAATAATTTAATTAAATTAATTTAATTTTAAATTAATCTATTGTAATGCGAAAATTTCCACGGTTATCTATGAACAATGTGCCACGTTATTACTTGAGAACTTGGCTCTGAAAATTGTAAAAATTAGTTGATTTGGTACTTTGTAACAATCAGTCTTCAAATCGCTTTCGCTTTGGATCTTGATTTTGTCGAAAGATTTATGTCCCCATATAAATCTTTCATTCTGTTCGAAACGCTAGGAATTATACACTGTCGTATTAGTAATATACAAACGCGATGATATTATACAACTATACGAACTTTATTTTTTAAAGCGCGTATTTACTTTTGGCTTTCAGTGAATATTATGGAATTGAGATGAAAGCGTATAAAGGATATATTATAAACATAATTTCCGAAAATTTATCTCCAAATTTACCTCCGCGATTATTTATACAGTCTCCACGAAGAGAAGCCCTCTGTTTTTATTTTAAATATTATCGAACATATTAATCTATATTCAATATTCTGCGATATTAATTATCGAATGATATGATTGTTGAATATTAATCGTACGACTGACTAATGAAATCAACTTGAGAAGTAAAATAAAACTGACCAGTTTGACTTCCAGGAAGCTCAATTATGCAACATGCACAACGATAACACGAGATAAACGGTGCAAATTGCAATGAAGTCGCGGATAAAACACGGGCATTCGAAACGAATAAACGCCACGTAGATGAATAGAGATCGAGCTACTACCACGCGTGGCTGAATTTATTGTCCATTATCAGAATTGCGATATATATGGACCGCGTTGCGCGTTTAAACACACTGTTACCCTGGCGGGGATATATGGAACTGGTTTACCACAATGTCTAATCAAGACTGCGAAAAAAAGGATGTAAAATCAAACATTATATATTTCAGGCCACCACTCTAAAGGTCATGCACATTTCTCTCATATGTGATCTTTTGATACCGTTGTATATGTAAAAATGATTATGAAATTGTTCTAATCTAAAGTTCTGAATTACACATTTTCTGAAACGATCTGCACATTTCGTACGCAACAGTCCATTGAAAGTTGAGAAAAATGAGAGTCGGAATTTTTCAATAGTGAATGTCATTTAACCAATTATTTATAGCGTCTGTATTAATCTAATAAACTAGTTTCTTATTTTCATACATCTGATAATGTAATGAATTGGATTTAATCGTACTCGATTGTCATCTTTGATTATCCAACGAATTTACCATACATACGTAATGGTGGCAGACAAAAGAAAGTTGAGAATTGGTACTTGTTACATTATTCTTCTATCAACATTCTATTCCGAGATGCACATTATATTGTAATATATCTACTCATTAAGTTAAACGCAATTCAATTCCATAAATACTCTATCATTTCGCATCAGTCAGATATCTTTCAGATCTTTGATCCCAGTCGAACGTGCTCGTGTTTACTCACCCCATGGTGCACCCCAAGGAGCAGCAAGAGCTGGCCAGGGTGCAGCAGCGTGACCAGCAAGAGCTGGCCAGGGTGCAGCAGCGTGACCAGCAACGCTGCCGGAAACTAGCGAGGGACCAGCGACTGCTCCGGTCACCACGGCACCGCCGTCAACAGCACCCGACAGGCGAGCAGGTCCAGCCACCGGTCCAGCAAGGGCCGCAGGTCCCACGATCGGTCCGCTGAGGGCAGCAGGACCTAGCAGAGGGCCGGCCAGAGCAGCTCCGGGTGCCAGGAGCGCCGATGGAGCCGCAGCGGCTACCGAGAGGGCAGCGACGAGAAAGACCGCTACGAGGGTGCACATGTCGAGAGAATGGTTCGTGGAAGGGCTTGCTCAGTTGCTAAGCTAGCGGGACAAGTCTGCCTCGATGGCCGTACTGGATGTGCTGGCATCTGGCTGGTCGGATGGTGCTTTTATAGGGGCATTGTCTGTGCTCCGAGTGCCTGATCGCTCCCGCCAACCCCAAGGGCGGGGCACAGGACACGCCAAACATTCTTCGCGCGTGGCCGTTTCCCCGGCTTATCGGCATTGAGACAGTGGTCGAGAAAACGGCGGCGACACAACGCGGACACAGAACGCGGTTTAACGCCTCGTGCAGCCCACCACCTCGCGCAATGGTGGTTCCCGGAGGTCGCCCGCTCTCGATTCAACATATCCGTTGCATCCGTTTCAGCGACGGCGGTTTTTCTTTACAATTGTCCCCGTGTCCTTGCGTACAGACAGAACACGGCAATCCTATCGAGCAGAAAGATCGGCGAGTTGATAGAAGTAAGTTTGACTGTTTAATGGCTCGAACGTGGGTCTAGTCACGGTCCGGGGAATTTTTGTGGCTGAAAATGTTGCGTTCAATTTCTGGGGTGGGGGAAATGTCGACTCACCGAAGTGATTTTCTATGTACTTATTGTAGAACAGAACTTCGCGTGAAAGTTCTGCGACAGGACTTTTTATTTGTGGCATTTTAGATTTACAGTCGCGGATAATTAATCGCGCGTTTTACAATGCAATTTCTTTTTCCCCTTTCCTAAACGTCGTTTAATTAACAGAGCGAAATTTTTAACGAACGGCGTAGGACAAAAAAGCGGTCGAGAAGGAGAGATCCGTTTCGATTTTATCATGTCGTTAAAGTAAATTGTCCATAAACATCGTGATAAAGAATTTAATCTTACGAAATACGTTGAAAAGTAAAACACAAAGCTATAGGAGGAAGAAGTGACTCCACTACGGAAACTTCATAAATGTCAGTGTTACTAGTCGCATTCAATATGAATCGAGTCAGCAGTCAGTGTCGGAGGAATTATCGACCGAACTGTCGCTCGAATTATCCCTGAAATTAATAATTATTCAATGTACATAAGTTAACAATACTCCGAAAAAGAAAAAAAAAGTTAATTCTAACGCATCCATCCGCAAGAATCTAACAACGGCATGAATCAAGATCTCAATATATATTGCAACGTAAACCTGCGATAAATACTAAATACCAGAAATCAAGAATAACGAAATACTTCCACCGGCGAGTGTCACCATTTCTCTCGAAAGATATTATACATTCAAGGTTGAAGAAACCTGTCATCACGACCTTCACGGTCGAAGAAGAGTCGTTTCATTTCCTTCTCGTCGATCTTCTAAACAATGAAACGGATCCGCGCGAAGCAGTCGACAACCGACAACAGTGTGCCAGTATGCATCGGCATTGTAACATTGTACATCCGTTTAGGCGAGGCACTCGGTCGCGTTAGCCCACGCTCCGTCGTCCCCAAGCTGCGATTGTCGCCTGGAATGACGGTCTCATTGTAATCGGACACGGCGCGCGTTACGGTGGCACCAGCCTCGCAATGGATCAGCGAGCCTCGTGCCACGGATCGTTTCGAATATCATTGTTGGGCGTAGCACGCACTTTCGAAGGTGGCAAAGGTGACCGGCGACGCGATTGTTCGAATAATTGCTCTCGAGCCAGCAGCGCCGCGGCGCGACGAAATCGGCTTCGAGGGGCGGCTTCCAACGAGACGTCTCGTTTCAGCGAAGATCGAGAAGTTTAAATACCTTTTTTCTCCCGTGGCGAATGCTTGAACTAGCAGCTTGCATCTTCTTCTCTCAAGTCGAAATGGATTCTCGTTCTTTTCATTTTGAAATATATCGAGTTTCTGCTCACCATTCGTCAGAGTTGAACTTGTTTCTTGGTTTGGAAGATTTGTACAAGCTGTCTTTTTATTTCTCGAAGATTTTGATTTCTTTTTTTTTTTTTTCTTTGGTACGAAATACTGGCATTTTTTAATTTTTATTTTTCTTTTTTGGATTTCAATCTTTTCATGTTTGAAAATTGATGCGAAATATTATTTTTAATCTTTGCTCAACGTGGCCAGATTTTTACGGTTATTTTTATTTATGGGTTTACTTCAGCATTGATCGTCGTTCATAATATTTCTATTTTTTTTTTTTTTTTTTGGTTTTTATAAAATGTTTATCGCGTTGTATAACTTTTACGAATATTACTTACAATTATGTCGCGGAATAAAAAGCCGTATCTAGTAAACATCTATTTACATCACGGCCCAAATTGATGGATCCATGCCACCATTTGTAGTTTATTAAATCATTCAATAATTTTTCTTTATCTTCCACTAATACTAAATCATTATAACAAAATACTGACTACAATAAACGTGAAATTCTTAAAATTCTTAAAGAATACAATCTATAAAGCATACAAAGTATAATGTTTCCAATAATAATTGACGGATTTATTGAAATCTCTTTTTAATTTTATTCCAAAAATATGAATAAAATTAACCGATTTTCTTTCTCGCTGTCTAATTCCAAACATTTTGCAATGATTATTGTCTTTTTTTTTATCATACCACCATATTTTACCTAAAAAGATTCGATCGGAAGATTCGATAAGGAACGTAATTTTTTTCGCAAGCATCCAATTTAAACGACCCGGTTGAAATTGAAATCGTAGGTTGCAGTTAGAATCATAGACATCGGGATATCGGCACGATGGCCAATCGTTTACGAAGAGAATCGAGAACAGGGGACATATTTCTTGCCGCGACAGGTGCATAAAGGAACGTCGAATCAAAAATGACAAGGTATTTGATTTACGGCCAGGGGAAATTTTTATACGGAGCCATTTTTAAAGTCTCGAATGGAGTGGGCGAAAAATAGTGCAACACGGACACAGACGAGCCTAGGCTGTCGATGTGACCGTTTTTGTCCATGGAAATAATGCGTATCGTCACCTATCGTGTAACTGGTTTACCATTACAAAATCCAAAGTGGGAATCGAATTATCAAGCCGTTTAGAAACAGAGCCAATCGGTCTCGTCGCTCCGACAACGTTTGTCAATATTCAATATTGTTCCTCCACTTCGTCCGATTTTATTTCTAGTTCACACTCAATTTGGGGCAACAATTCAGGAAATTTCTATAAAATCGAAACTGTGCGAAATGGAAACTACGAGATATGGAAATGTTCGAAAATATAAATAAACGAAGGAATGTAATAACAAAATGGAAAGCAATTTTACAAAACTATAAAAACTTCCGATTTATTGACAATGTAAAAAATAGAAATTTATGTACAGATATAATATAAAATTCTGGCAAGGTCTTTGCAAGTCTAACAAGCCTTGGCAAAGATATGTTATAGAAATTATATTATATTGTATTATCGACATGCAAAGAATGTGTTAATAAATACATTCGAACGAAGAAATGTTAGAACCACAAAGAGGTCGTACATAATTCTACTTAAACGCAGGCCTTTATACAAATCCAACGCGTTGATCATTTTTCTTTTCGTTCTGGGCGTGGTGTCTCCAACACGATCCTACGTTGCGTCACCGTATTTAAACGTTTTTGTCCCGATCGGTCGAGCTTTTTCACCCCGTCACGCTCTAGCAAACCGCGGCCACCAGCCCCGCCCTTACCCCCGATAAGTTCACCGACCCACGTGTGCTCGCGTGTGTCGCCTATAAAAGCTCACTTAGCATCAACTTGCACGGCAATGTTCCTTCGTGATGGCTGATGGAAAGTCGCTGCTCGGAATCTCGGTGGCCTCCGTCGTCCGCGAGGGGATATTTCACCGATCCTCGACCTAACTAAAAGTACAGGCAGATCGAGGAACGCCAGCATCGATGGACCCTACGTTGAAAATCAACCTTACGTCGAGGTTGCCTTTCTCTTCTGGTTCCTCGACTTTTCAAAGTTGATACTCGTTGAATTTGAACTACGTATCCGAGATACCGCGCCACCGTGGCCATCGATCTCGACCCGAACTCTCAGGTAAGAAAGAAACTTTTGTATTTATTTACGACTTCAGACACGCTATTTGACTCTTCTATTTTTCTTCTTTCGAAATAGTAGTAGTTGTAAAAATTATGTACGAGTGTGAAAACCTTTGGCCGATAGTGTATACGTATTTTTATAAACATGTTGCTGAGGACGTCGGATACTTTCTTTGAAACAGAGAAATTTAACTGCTACGCGAATGTAAGTTTAATGGAAATTATAACAAATTTTGATCGATGATGTATATATATATATTCTTTTTTTTAATTTTTTAAATTTTTATTAATGGATCTTTTCCTATGTTAAATACTGTTAAATTACCTTTAAACCTTCCATTAAATTTTAATTAACCGAATAACAAATGGTAATGTACCAAATATTAAGTAGTACGTTGCTTAAGGGACCATGTTTCTTAATCTACGCTTGATACACGAGCGAGGCGGATTGCGCAATGAATAACGATCGAGAACGTAGCGCGTTCAGAGATTTATCCCGTTCTTAGACCGATCTTCTGACTCCGAAACACGCCGTTACGTACCATATAAATATCCGTTGCTTGCTCCGCTGAAAAATAACGAGTTATTTTCCCCACTTGATGAACGATCCGCCGCGAAATCGTATCTCGAGTCGAATATAACGTTTAAATATCCACGGATTTTACGATCACGTTCGATCCATATCCTCTATCGCGCGTCGTCCATACGAAAAATCATCCTTAAGATCGATTTCACATTACGATTACGTGTATCAGGCACTGCGTGCTGCGAGAAGCGAAATATAGAGTCTCGTTCGAGTCTGATCAACTACGCTTTCTGTCAGTCGCTCAATTTCTTTAGATGGATACGCGATTAATGTGAAATTCTCAAGAAATTACTTAATTTCTACTTTCATCAGTGTTTGTAGCATCGTTATTTTCTCCTTACTTTCCAATTTTTTATGTTAATCATTGTGGTTTTTGAAGGATCCGTTTGTATCTATTGTCTCATATGGCGCATTCTTGGACGAAGGTT